CTCTTTCCTCGGTTACCCTAACAGTTGGGTTGGGAAAGTGCTGAGAGCAGTTGGGCTGTCAACCACACCCACTGTCCCCAGCCTACGCTGCACCAAGAACTGAGGAACCTGTAGTCAATTAATTTGTGGCCTGATTCTTTCCAGCATAGTGTGTCTGTGTTGTCCTTCTCTCCCCCTCCTTTGGGCTGGTCCCCACTCCAAGTACAAACACTTAGCCTTTTTCTCTTTCGAAACCTCAATCACCACCTGAAGTACTAGGAGCAACGCCAGGCTCAAGAGCTTTCCTTAGACCAAATCAGCTAATAAAGGAATAATCCATTATCCTTGTCTGTCACAGACATTTTCATCTCTGTGGCTCCGTTCTGACCTAACAAGGAGCCATTGGTTTATTTTAACTACAAATTGTTTTGTAAGACCAGAAATCAGTTTTCAGACAAGCATTCAAGTCCTTTTTTTGTCTCCATAAATGCTGTTTTAATGGGTCAGGGAAACTGCTAGTGAGAAGCAGTGAAAGGTGATGAAGGGTTCAATTTTGAGCTGCTCCAGCTGGTTATCTTTGTACACTGGGGCGTGTATGAGGGTGGCACCACAGAACAAGCCAGACGCTTCTCCTCTGCAGTTTCCTGCCCGTGTGACCGGGGCCCGTGATTAATAAACTAACTTCAAACCAGCGTTTCATATCCTGGTTTGATGTACCTAACACACCATAATTAGTGGAGTGGCCCACTTTCAGACAGTCACATTAACTGTACTTTAATTTCATGTGACATTCCTTGAGAGTATATAGCAGATACTTCACTAAATATTTCAGTCTTGTCTTAATTACTTTTAAAACTGTTTAATCACTTCCACTTAACACAACCGTTGCCCAGAACTGATATGACTGGTGCTGCTCCCAGTTCATTAGATAGCAAAAGCAGAACAAATTGGACCCCTCCAGAAAATTGGTCATGTGTGCAAATGATATTCACTGAGCTCTGCTTTCTGGAACAGCCTAGACAAAAAAGAGCAGAGGCAAATTATTGACCTATGGGGGGGTCTAGATTTTAAAGATCATCCAGCAGCATTGCAATGATCCTCAGAGTCAAAAGCCAATTGGCAAAACCAAGAATCTACAAGGGACATTTCCCCTTCTTGACCTTTAGAAATGGATGATCAAGACTAACAGTGTAGTCTTCCTTCCAAATCCAGATTAGAAGCCCAGACTGAAATGGACTGAGGAATAGTGCCAGTAATGCAATAGTACCAATAATGTTCCAATAATGCATTACAGGTACTTGAAACAGTACCTTTCGAAACAAAATGAAAACATACCTGTCTTTGCCTTCTTTGCAGGTGAAGGTTGACTTCTCCCTCCAGCATTTATAGATCGGATTGATATTTTGTACACTGTGGCAGCCTTCAACCCTGTCACAGTGCCTGGTGAATTTGTGATGATTGTTTCAATGAATGAGTCTCCATCCTGTGCTGTCAGCAAGTAACTGGATGCCCCTGCGACTGCTGCCCATTCCACTGTGATACTGTTACTCAACTTTGAATAAGCTTGTTCGATAATGGGGATCTCAGGAGCTTTGGGAGGGGGGGAAAGGATATCTGGAACCAGGGTCATTTCGAAAACAACAGAGAAGTTGACATTCAAGGATACCACTTGTCTGATTATTTTACAAGCATGATCTCAGGAAAGACTGATGAGTTTCCCCTTTTAACTCACTTACTTTAGCAGTACTGCTATGCATGAAAAATGCTAGGAGGATATGACTGGCTATAAAAGCTACAAATGATGTATTAATCATCCCTAGCTCGAGAGAGGTCATGGCTCACTGGCAGAACACCTGCTTTGCATGAACAAGGTCCTAAGTTCTGTCCTCCACATCTACACAGTTAAAAGGGCTCAGGGAGTAGCTGATATGAAAGGACTTGACCCTCAACCCTGGAAAGCCACTGCCAGTCAGAGTAAGCAATACTGGCCTTGATAGACTCAGTACAAGGCAGCTTCATACGTTTGTAAATAAAGAGTACTTTAGAGTATTGCCTGCTGCATCTCTGAATGCTTCATTGCTCTGGCCTAGCCTCCCTTCAATCAACCTCTAATGGGCAGTATCTCAGCATCAGAACAATGTAGTGATGCAGCAAGTGGAGTCCTTTATGGGTATGTAGTCCTTACATGTACTCACTGTAACCTGCCTGGGTATAAGTGTGAATCAACTGAAGAGTTCTCCTATTTAATTCAGAACACATTAAAAGTTTGGGTGGCACTGTAGTGGAGAGAAAGAGAGCGCTTACAAAAAGGATATATGTGACTTAAAATACACTCTGCAGAACTAAAAAAAAATTAAGTAAAATGATATGTTAGCCTGCACATTGAAACACAACCAAAAAATTAATAATGAATAAAATGGGGTTTCAGAGATCTTGGCAGAATTACAGGAGCTGTACTTCCACAAGCATGATGAGCTCTTCTTGAACAATATTCTCATTGTGCTGAGCCAAGACTTCTTTCATTCACTGCCAGCCAGCCAGCAAGCCAGATATGTCCCCCTTTTGCACCATTTGTAGTGTTCCTAAGCATTGTTTAATAAAACAGCACGGAGGATAAGGGACAGACATCTCTCATCTTTCTTTCACTAAAATGTCTTTCCCTTCATTGCAAATGTTTCCATACCAAAATAACAGCTGCAAATTTAGTCAGCATTCAGATTAAAGACACAGACCTTCATTTTACTAAACAATTACATCCCAAAATACAAATATTCTATTTTTGTAGGAATCCTCTGTGGACATCACTGCTTAGAAACTTCATGGCCTTCTTTATGCCAAGGTAGCTGTATTCTCTAGAACTGGGTTTTTCAGACTAGGGAACCTGAATCCTTTCACATTGTGCAGGAAACATGGAAGAGAGAATGCAACTGCTTTGGTTTTACTGCAAACCTAAGAAAGTGAAAATCAATGAGACTGGCAGTGAATCGTCTATGACAGAGATGGAAGGAAGGAGGCTTCACTGAGCAAAGTGCACTTCGAAGTTTAATTGGTATTTTCTTTTTTTTTCTTTTTGCATTTGTGTGTGTGCGTGTGTGCAGCGGTGCCTGGAAGTCATGGCAACCTCCTACTGGGACACGGAGGACATTCAGAGAATGGCTTGATAGCCTGCCTCTGGTCTCCCGGCCCTGGTATTCTCTGGAGGTCTTGCATCCAAATACTTGCCAGGGTTGGCCCTGCTTAGCTTCTGAGATCTGATGAGATCGGGCTTGCCTGGGCTACGTATTTCCTCTTCTTGAACAGCAAGAAGTAAGTGAGACTCAGATAGTTTGGGCTCAGCATTTGCAACCTGCTGCCCTAGATGACCAGACTCTTCCTGCGAACTTCCAAAAAGTCTAGACATATTAATACATAGCAACAAGAACAACCAAAAGTTTTCCAGGATGGTGAGCGGGATGCAGGCCCCAATGTGGGTCTCAGACTGGCAATCCAAAAAGACAAGCTGAGGTGTCAAATTGAGAAAACAAGAAGTATAGGAAGAGTTGGCATGCCAGCAAGGAAGTCTTTGCCAGGTGGCAGTCCAAGTCTGCTGGTCTGAGAAGCAACTAGAAGATTCTGCTCTCTCCCTATTTCTGCTCTGCATTTGCCTCAGTTTCCCCTCCCCTCCCCTAGCCCAGCCACCACCAAAGAGGCGATGAATCCAGCTATCACAGTATGACTTACTGTCTCAAAAGCTCTTTAGTTAACCCAAAATCCCTCTCCCCCATAACAATGCTGACAGGACGGCAGTTTTAAGAACCTTAATTCTGTGAAGGATTGCATCATATGTCTTTTCAAAACACATCTCTAGTAGCTTTCAGTGAAAATAGCAACCCTCTTTACAAAACCAAATAAATCAGCTCACAAAGCAATCCCATGTTTACCTGTTAACTGCATGGTCTGTGCTTCAGCCAACAGGATTCCATTCTTGTCAACAGCATCTACTTTTACAGTATAAACAGTGTTGGGGGCAAGGGAGGCTAGTGTACCTACAAACGATAGATCACTGAAATGGGCTGACAGAGAGTGTCCCACTGTGTTCACAGGGGTTGCCATGGCTCTGTAAGAAAAGGCTCCTAGACATTTGGGCCATCGGAGGTAAATGCTTCTTGATGTCACATCGTAAACAGATACAGAGAAACCTGCAAAACAGATACACATATCCATTCTCTCAAGTTTGCCACATAATAGTCACTGGCTATAAGAAAATTGTGAGTATGTGAACACCACAAGTAATTCTATTAAGTGTTCCCTCTTCCCAAGAAACCCCTGGAGTTTTGTGATGGGACAGTTATCTCGAACCCAAAAATTATTAGCATCTCACCAAAGTATAATCCCCAGAAACCTTTGGAGGATAAGCCATGATCTCTAAATAGTTAGAACATAATATATGCGTCTTGGGTAGACATGCTGAGAAGAACTTGAGTATCCCATTGTGGGCTTCTTCTTTCTTTTGCTTTCTACAAATGATGATGGAACTCAGGCAGTTATGATTTCTCGATTATAGCCTCCATTTCTCAGACACAGTTCTCAATATATATGAGGGAGAAAACACTGACTCGAAGGATGAATTAGATGAAGATTACTGTCAATTGGTTATATACAGTATATCAAAAAAAGAACTGGTATATTGTGCTGATGAAAAGAATAAAGAAATCCCTTGTTCAGATCTCAGATCGGCCAGAAGTTACTGACAAGAGGTAACAAAATAGGGTTGCCAGTTTCCAGGTGGTGGCTGGAGAACTCCTGGAATTACAACTGGTTACAGAGATCGATTCTCCTGGAGAAAATGGCTGCTTTGGAAGGTGGACTCTATGGCATCGTGCCCCATTGAGGTCCCTCCCCTCCCCAAACCCCGCCCTCCCCAGGCTCCACTCCCCAACTGTCCAGGAGTTTCCCAACTCAGAGCTGGCAACCCTACAACAATGTGTTAGCTTCACCTCCAGCCCTGACCCTCATTCCCAGTGTGATAAAAATATTGGAGTGTGATTGTAAAAATATGAGGTTTTGCGCATAATGGTTTGGAGCAGTGATTCCTAATGTAGCGCTGTAGTACTTGCCCATGAGTTTCCTGGTGCCCACTTCCTTCTTCCCTAGAGCAAAGAGCTTATCCTGGCTTTCCTCTAGAAACAGGAGGTTCTTCAGAAAACCCCAGGGAAAAATTTGTTTGCAGGCAACATATATTAGTTAATAGGTGGGTACTTGATTTGGAACCTCCCACCTATTTGCGGTTAACTCAGTGGCAGCCATTTTAGTGTCAGCTACATCCCACTAAGTAGCCATTTCTAACAGTACCCACTACCTGTTTTCAAAATCCAAAAGCACCTGCATGCTCAACAAGGTTGGGAACTCCTAGTTCGGAACAGCGGAAGCACAACTTGAACTCGTCTGCTTCTTCGTTTTGGGGGAAAGTGCTATAGAAATACTAAGTAGTAGGGGTCATTTCCAGCCGGAACGAGCCGGGACAGCATTCCAGCAGTAATGAGCCCAGGAGCGGGCACATGTGGCAAGCCCCGCCCCCTGGAGGGAGCCTCCGGCCTTCCCTGGCCCTGCTTCCCCATGCCTTCCCCGGCCTCCCCGCTGAGGTGGGTGAGCTGAGGAAGGCCCTGCAAGGAGCGGGGAGGCATTTAAATGCCTCCCCGTGCCTTCCCCGGCCCATCTGCGAAGCAGGTGAGTTGGGGAAGGCCTGCAGAGTACCTACCACCTTCCCTGGCCCGCTTCTGTCAGGCAGAAGCACCTGAGATCCTCCCCCCCCTTTTCCTTCGCCCCACTTGGAGGCAAAGGGAAGGGAGAGGGGGAAAGCAATGGGACCCAGGTGCTTCTGCCTATCAGAGGGGCTGGCGCGTTGGCTTTTCTGTCAGGCAGAAGCACGAGTTCCTCCCCCCCCCCTTTCCTTTACCCCGCTTGGAGGCGAAGAGAAGGGAGAGGGGGAAACGAACTCAGCTGCTTCTGCCTGTCAGAAGGGGGGGCTGGCACGTTGGCCCCTCTGTCAGGCAGAAGCTCCTGAGATCCTTCCCCCACACACACACTTTTCCTTTGCCCCGCTTAGAGGCGAAGGGAAGGGAGATGTCAGGGAGTGTGGCGTATGGAAATAAGCAGGGGTCATTTCGTAGAAAAAGAGCTAGGGGAACTCATTAGCATAACTCATTAGCATATGCCACACCCCCTGATATCAGGGGCCCGGCGGTGGACCTGCAAGGCCAGCGGGAGTGTGAGGAAGCCCTGCCGAGGCCCTCCCTGGCCCCAGGCAGGCAGGGGTGGGGAGAGGCGGGGAGGAGGCAACTTACCCTTTCTCTTCTCCTGCCTCCTCCTGGCTGAATGAGGGCTGGAAGCGGGGCGGCCGGAAGCAGGGGGTGGGGCTTCATCATGTGCCCCGCCCCCCTGCACCTCACCCGGGGGAACTGCGTTCCCCCCTGAAATGACCTCTGGAAATAAGTTATGCTAATAAGCTCCTGCACCTCTTTTTCTACAAAATGACCCCTGCTAACTAGCGTTATTTCTATAATGTATAATGTACAGTAGTTTCTAAAGAACAACGTTTGAGTCCAATGAGAGCCAGTTTGGTGTAGTGGTTAAGAGCAGTGGACTCTAATC